TTAATGGTAAAAAAATTTTTATGTATATAAAGCAGAAATGAAATAAATCGAAAATTTCATTTTTTAAAAAAATCGGGGTACTGTATATATGCTATTTGCAGATGATGTTGCTATCGCTATCTCCTATAATAATTTTATTTTGATTGGATCACATGCAACAAAACCCATCGATCACCGTTGGACGGACCCATTACTGAGTTATAGAAGTTGTCTAAGTTATACAGGAAATGCTTTTACTTTTGTTAACTGTAACATACTCGAAAGCTACGTTAGCCATGAAAGAGCCAAACTTACTACAGGTTAAGATAGTAGTCGGCATGCTCGCGCCGACCCGTCGGATGTCCATATTAGTGAGTTACAGCTCTTTATTTTCTGCAGGAATATTTTATTCTGCCGGATCCACGAAGTATTCCATTAACTACTGTCCACCTCTTTTTGAATATGATCGGAACTGATGTTTTGCGTGAGTGAATACTGGAGCAACAACAGTTTTTATCAATGCGTGCACGATCGAGACGAGAGATTTTAGTAGTAGAAATTACAGTCGGCCAAAGTGTGCTACGACTCATTTACAGGTGGAGGCAGGAAGTTGTACGATAATTGCATGTGTTTGTTAGCGGATCGTTTAGTGTGAAGTGTTCCGAGATTTCATTTGACGGTAGCAAACTCATCGTTCTTGATACGGTGTTTAGTTTGTCGTTTTCTACGTTTAGTGCGATGTTGGCCTTCCATGACTTGAGTTTTGCGGCGTTAACAATTGCGAAGTCATTTGGTTTCTCCTCCTTGACAGCTTATTTTTTCCGATAGTGACTTTGAAAATATTTTCAGAAGAGCAAGTTTATTGTTATTATACTAACGCTAATATAAGCTACTCTCCCCATTTTTAAAGCCTAAATCATGAAAAATGGGCTGCTTATTTTCGGGTTTTTACGGTAACGTTAAACCGGATCCGGAAATGATCTATCGCTATAATTTCAGCCTAATGCTAATTTTTCTATGTAGTACATACTGATACATACGTAGTTAACTCATTGGAAGTGTCACAAACCAAGTGATTACTCCCCTTGTTCATTATACGTATCGGTATATTTTTTCTCAATTAATCTGGTTGTTTTTTGAAGAAAACCTCAATAATTTGAAGCATTAATTAAACTGTATAACTGTTATATTTAGTAAACTCGCTTTTATAAGCCAAAGTTTTTACTAATAGTCCCGACGTTTATTGAGTTTGCTTTTACCTCCTAAAATAACTTGTTGATATATACACACATTACATCCAGTAGTTGTTAAACAAAAATCATGGAAGAATCATTAGCGAAATTGATTCTTGAAATACCACTCGATGTCCCACTCGGCCTCATCTTACAAAAAAATCACGAGAAATTACAAGAAGTAGGAATATTAACCAACACGAGTGTACACTTTGCCGAGAATCACAATAATCCACGAGTAGTAGTTTCGCCGAGTCGAAAACCGCCTTCAACTACTAGGGAACAAATGGAAGATGCACGAAAACAAATAGAGTGTCTCTTTGAAAATAGTATGCGAAAAATGCACCATATCAAAATTCCAACTCCCATTTATCACTCGCATGCAAATTTCGTTGAGGATTTGTTGTCACCAAAGTTGCGAAAAATTAGCGATAAACATCGAATCGACGTGATGCCGAGAATATATAAAAATGAGGCGTATGTTATTTTCATTAAGAAAAGAAAAGATCCGTTAAGTGTAATCGATCAAACGAAAAAAGAAGTTGGACAGTTTCTGGCAAGGTTTCAGTCGATTTATGCTGAGCCAAAAATAACAGAACCCATAGATTTATCCATTTCTTTTAATCAAGATATTCTATCTCCTAGTGAATTCAAAAATCAATTTCAAAAGGAAATTTATAATATCGAAAATAAGACAAATACAATTATTGAATACGAGTATTCATACAATGGAAAACCAAGAATTCTGATCAAAGCAGTCGAGTTTTCGAGCAATATACAAGCGAAGAAATACGAGGCGCATCAATTAATTAAACAATTGCTAAACTTAGCATTAAAGAGAAAAAATGAGTCGAACTTGAAGAATCAAAATGGTAGAGGAATTTTCGTATAATACTAATATCTCTGATTTCTGCAATAAAATTATTTCAAAATTAAAATTATTTTGCAAATTTTAAAAAAATCCCGCTGACACCAGCATCTAACGAAGAACCTGAAATTACACGGCAACCACAGAAACCAACACGAAGCGACTCTTTTGCGAGCAACGCGTCATTGGGTTCTTCAGTTAAAGAAAATACTCATAATCTAGAGGCGTCATTGGATGAAACTAAATTGGAATTCGATATCAAATCGAAAGAATATATAAAAAAAGGTGAATCCTGAAATTTCTATATTTTTTCAACATCAATTGCTAAATTGATCAATATATACATTCATAGTTTCCAACAGTTCGGAATTCAATATGCTGTTCAACCAGTCATCCCACGAGTTTCTTGCGAAATGGGATCGGTTTAGTGCTCAATGGATACACAGCGGTTATTATAATCAATTCGAGTCTCTTTTTGGCAGTAAATGAAAGTATATATTATTTGTATTTAATTGTTAATTTATGTAGAAATTTGTTAGATTTACTTTCAATTTCTTGATATTATATTTTTAACTTTAATGAAATTAGGTAAATACGATACTCTTTATTTTATGACAAATTCTCGAAGTTGAATTTTCTTTAGATTGAATACATAATAAGGTTTTGAATCAATCGCAGATAAAGTTTATTACAAGAAAAATGTTGCTTGAATATATTAAAAGAAAAAATTGATTAGTTAATCTTTCTTACATTTTCAGATATCTAATATTTATAATTCATTCGAAGAATTCCTAAAAAGAAAATTATTATACCATTTATTGCCAAAAGCAAAGCTCAATCCAAAATATTGTCAAGTTATTAAATATTAAAATGAAAATATATTTCACAAAAATGCCATCTTGTTTATTTACAGAATTTAGTGCATTAATTTAAGTCAAAGAGAGTATTTGTCTTATTAGTAATAAAGTTCCTACTTAAGTGAATATTTAAATTAAAATCAAAGTTAGGATATTTATAAAGTAGAAACTTTATATTTATTTTTTTAAATAGTTTCTTATATTTTAAGAAAATAATATCGAAGTAATGTGATAAATTAAAAAGTAATTGTCCAATAATATTTATTAATACGTAAATAAAAATAGTAATTGAATTCTTTAAAATAATCAAAAAACCATGTATTAAATAAGTTATTTAATTGTTTAAACTACCTAGTTCCTAATCCAAGTTATTTTTAGTAACAATAAACTTATATCAAAAACATTAATATATTTTATAGATAATAATACAATTTTACAAGACTTATTTGCGAAAATTTTTTTAATAATGAATTTTTTATATAAAAATAATTTTCAGAATTCAATATGTTAAGCTATATCTTTTGTTTGAATATGTTTGTAATATCAAATTGGTAATTGTTATTTTATATTTATCAATATTTTATTTAACTATAATGTAATTACTAATTATTTAATATAATATCATTATATTTTCTTTTTTATTTACAATACAAAATTGGCAATTGTCATTTTATGTAAAAATAATATTCATCAGAAAATAGTTTTATCAATATTCTATTTAACTTTGATAATTACTAATTATTTAATATAAAATATAAAATATTATTATAATTTACAAAGTTAAAGTAACCTAACCTATACATATAAATTATGCTGTAAAATTTTAATTTTCTAATATTTTATTCATGTAACTTTTTAAATTATTTTTCATTCAAGTTTGTCTTATTATTTATTATTAGTTTATTTTAAGTATTTTTCTTTTTATTAAAATGTGTCTTATTTCTTACTATTATTTATATAATTTATTTATCAATATAAATAATTAAATTATTGTTATTAATGTAATATCTGATATCTTAAAATCAAAGTTAAAAATAAATAAGAATTATTTGAATAAATATAAAATAAAAATAAAGCAACTAAAGTATTTAAAATATAATTAAAATATTTAAAATAATTATAGTTCTCAAAGATTGTTTTTATTATTTAAAGTTAAGTTTATTATTTGTATAGATTATACAGAATTTATTCAAGAATGTACAAATATCACTTTGCAAAAAAGTTTAATAAATTGGACTTTATTTTTATTTATATTATATTGTTAATAATATTAAATTATTTTACATACGTAATGTATAAATAATAACTATTACTTTCTTTTTTATGAATTGATGATTTATTTAATTAATATTAGAAATTTCTTAGCAAAACTAAAGAATGTATTATCGGTAAACTCTTCTCAATAAATAGGAATTGGTTCAGGAACAGTTATAGTGAACCTGCTTCGATAAACTGAATTTACTAAATGACCTGATTTTCTGATAGCTTAAGTTTAATGAAGATTGATTTTTTATGCCAATTTAGCAAAGTTTAATTTACAAAACTTTCGAAATGAAAAATCTTTAATTTTTATTTAGGAGTTTAGGAAACAAATATTATTAAATTACATAATTAGGAGAAGGGTAGGAGGTTAGTCAAATAACATGTGATATACTGCGAATTTAATCAGTACTTGTTAATCAGGTGGGGGTTGTGAGGTCATCTCTATATTCTCCCTAATTAAATTATAAACTTCAAGTTTTTCAAATCCTGTTGCTCTTTTTAATTAATTAAAGTCGGATTCTAAAATATCGATATTATTCTATTTAAATATTTCGATTTTTTTATAAAAAAATAGAAAATAAAACAGTGTACAGTTAGTAAAAATATTATATTTACAATTATTAATTATAATTATACTAAAACAAAAATTATATAAAGTATAATAATAATATATGCAATATATTTGAATTAATTAATAATAAATTATATGCAATATATATATTAAATTAAAAAATCTAATTTTTTAGTCTTTTTTTATTTTTCTATCATATAATAGAACCTTATAGTATATATTTTAAAGAAAAGCTTATTGACAAATTAGTATAATATTTTTATACAAATAATAGTTCAAATTATTATTATATATGGTGCATACCATCTAAAGTCATCAAACGTTTTATTTTATAAACTTCTTTCCTAAGAAATTTAATTCATAAGTATGCTCATAAACGGTATATTTTGACATATTTACAGAATAAATTTTGTATTTATTTCTTAATAAAGAAGTTTATCCATTTTATAAAATACAAACGTTTGGTGACTTTAGATAGTATGCACCATATATGTTTGTATTAATTCTTATATAGTTTTGTTGTTGTTTGAACTTTATTATTTTACTTATGAAAGTTTCTATTTCACATATTATGTTAATTCTGAATTTAGAATTAAAAATATTAGTTTGATACAAACCGAAATAATTAATTAATTAGAAATAATAATAAGCAAAGTACAACACAATCATGAGATTTGCAAAAGAGTTATATCTTAAAATCTTAATTACTATATTTAACAACCAATTTCTATTTTTTTAATCTAAAAAATCATGAACATTTACTTAAAAAGTCTAAAATAAAAACAAATATACTATATAATTTTGTTTCTCTGCTAAATATACAAAAAATATTGATATTATTATTATATGAAATATGAAAACTGTTTTTATTTAGTGCAATAAACTTTCTAAAAATGACAAAATAATACGACGTTACCAAATTACACCAGCGTTAAATTAACCAATCGGATCGCTGGATCAAAAAATTTAACCAAACAAAACAAATTTTTAAAAAATGGTCTGTATCTCTAAACTCTGCTTATGAAACTGCTTTTTGTATACTAAAAAAAATGTTCCTTGCGAAATTTTGGGTTAGACTGACTTATTCTGCCCATCCCAAACCCTAATCCAGACTAATAAATTTTTTGTTTTTTTTTGTGGTGCTTTACACCACCAGTGTATTTATAATTTTTAAAATAATATTAAAAGTTTTTGATAATTCAATATTACCAAAATAATTAGACATAATTGATATATAAAAAACTAATAATTAATGAAATATACGTGAAGCAAATAACTACTAAAAAAATTAACAAACTTCTCCATATTAGGATCATTATGGATTATATCATAATGAGGGTATCCGCGACAGTAAGCTGGTAATCTGACTGCAAATGACTTTGAATGCAGAAATCCTATGCAGGGTATATCTGGCATAAGCCGATCATTATTCACAATTCTATTTTGCAAAGTATTTAAAATACCGCTTATTACCGATTTACAGTGTGAAGAATACCAAATAACAGCCACTTTATCTGATGGTCGAATAATTAGTATCCCTACTGCTTGACGGACTAGTCCTACATGATTTTGGGTGAATCTTCTGATCAAACTCCTGACTGCAATTCTAAGCTTAAAGTATTTATTGCGAGCTCTGTTAACACACTCCAAGGAACTCCTGAGTATGCAGATGCTCAACAGTGAAGTAAAAGATCAAGTGTTATATTCGATTTGATCAGTAAAAAAAATATATCAGTTCAGTTAATTCAAAAACACATTGTTCGCATTAAATTTTATTCTCTATCCATTGTCTTAGCGTTAATCCTTTTTGTGGCAGAAACTGTGGTACGTATGATACAGTACAATAGGAACGTTTGCTTTTAGTTCATGTGTTTGTGTTAGCGTTGCTTACATGCATGCATGAATTGGAAGCATTATCATCACTCCTATTGCTATATTTATTGTCTGTTCGTACATAACGATAATGATATATTGATATTGATCGAGAACAGGTAAGACAAATAACTATATGGTAATTCATTATGGCATACATCAGAAAAGGGTTCAGTGCAGTCATTTTCTAATTTTTACTGATTTAGAGATTGTTTATTCGAATAGACTTTAACAATTGCAACTACTTGATGCAAGACATCTACTAATTAAATTAGGTACGAATACATTTCATACTATTTAAAGCTTAATGTACTGGAAATTTTGTAGATAGACAATTTTCATAACGTTAGCGTTAGTTTTTTGTGCAGCCCCACCCCATCAAAATGGCAAATCAAACACGTTTTTTTCATCAAAGTGAATCCATTAAAATCGCGTATCAGATACTCGACAATGGCAACCAAGAAACCAAAAATCAAATACCATTGATTATGATAATGGGATTGTATGTATAATATAAAGATATTTAGACATAACGACTCGATAAAATAATTTTAAATCTCTTCTGATAGAAACGGATTAAAAGAGGACTTTTCGCCTTTATCAGATGGTAGAATTCTAAATTATTTTTTTTTAATTTGAATAATTACGATTGTTAATTCACAGGATATTTTTTGGATTTTATCTAGAATTGGCTAGAAATAGACAAGGTAAGATAGCGACCGGTACTATGCATTTTAATAATTCCTAGCGCAAGCCAACGATCTTTAATGCTAATTTTTCTTAAGTTCTTATATTCGATAATCCCGGAATCGGTGAATCGCAACAACCCATTGAGACTTCAATGACTATAGAGGATTTAGCAAAAGTGGTGTTTATGCTAGCGGGTTACGTTAAATGGAAACGATTTTGTCTTTTAGGGTACTCGATGGGTGGTAATAGAACTAGCGAAATTGTCAAAAATACTATAAAACTGATTTTCATCAAAAATTTTTCTTTCATTTGTGCATGGGCATATAAATGTAGGAATGGTTGCACTTACAGCGGCATTAAACACTTCACCAGGATTTAAAATCGAAAAGTTGGTGCTTTGCTCAACGTAGGTAATTTTATAAACATTTTGCTTCTATCGCAAATAAGAGCATCTGAAATTAAATTTCAAATTTATCTTAGAACCTCAAAAACAATTTTCAGCGAGTACATCGAAGGTCTGAAAAGTTTCGATAAACAGAGTTTCACACCCGAGCAAAAGAAGAAATTCGTATTAAAAATGTTAGAAATCAATTTCGCAAAAGAATGGATTGAAGCAAACCCAAGTGTTTATGCTCAAATAGTTGAAAGTGAAATGAAGTCGACGAATCGCAAAAGTCCTGCCGTGATTGGTGAGTTTATTTAGAATTTTATTCGTTTCTTTAAAGCTAATTATGGATACGAGTTCTTATTAGCTTTTATAATAAAAAGTTAAACAAACACAAGCAATAGATAAATTTGATGCTGAATCGGAAATAAATGATATTCTGATTCCGACTCTTATTCTTCATGGTGATAAAGACAACCTTATTCCAATTTATAACGGAGAAGCAATTCATCGTAGAATGTCTAATTCTAAATTTGTTGCATTGGAAAATGTTGGACATTTGTATGTGTTATTTTAAGGATGCTTCTAGTTTGTTGTTTTGATATTTAATAATTTATCGTTATGTCAATGTTTAGGTTTTATATAGAGCATCCAGGTTCAGCTAAAATTATTGGTGCATTCCTGGCGTCGGAAGATTGATTATGTGTATTTTCTGTTGAGAGGCCGTCGTGGGCGAGTTTCTTTTATATTGTTTTCGAATAAATAGTCTGTATAAATAATTGTATTCTAACGCTAAAGATCCATCAAATTGATTAATAATATTTTTGATTGTTGCATCACATGGATAATCCGATAGAAAATTAATAAAGAAATTTTTTTTTCATAGATGTTCCAATAGAAAGTTCTCTAATCCCCCCTCCACTATAACGAAATAACAATAACAGAATAAAAATCTCTTTCTGAGGGGAGTTCGGTTTAACGGGTCCGATATAGCGAGGGAGGTAAAAAAATTTTAAACTACGCTTATACATACTCTTAAGAATATAAGTCTAGTAAAAGCATTTTTTTAGTTTTCTCGATATATTTTTGGACGAACTGAATTAATTATTTCAATAATTTTTTCCTCTTTAACATTACATCTTTGATATAAACACACTTCAAAACCACGGTTATCATTTTTTAAAAACTTTACCAAACGCTCCATATCCAATTACTAACCAAGGTGACGACATTTTCTTGCAACATTGATAATATTTAGTAGTATTGCAATCATATCTATATTGTAATTATTTAATTATTTAGTAATACTTAATGTTAACGTTACCATTATAATCAAGTGCTAGTGCGCATATTTTGTTTAGATACTAAATAATGAAACATGAGAAAAAATTTGAAACATTAAAAACAAATTATCAATTTGTTATATTTTTTATAAAACAAATATTATTACTTGTTTAAAGATATATCATCCCGAAGTCGTTGTTTTATTTGATTCTTCCGACATGTATTCAATAGGATGTTTATTGGTTTTATTGAAAAATCAATTATCTATTTATATGTCTGTAAAACACACGTATCAGTATATTCCTGTATTTTTTTTTACAGACAGATATTGAATTTACAGGCGTATTTTTCTTATAGGGATATCAGAAACGACACTCTCTATTCCACATCCCGGACACTACAAACAAAAATAATATTAACCAACGGAGCCACATGCACAATTCAAATACTTTCTTTAAAATTGGTATATGACACGATAAACTTCTTTATAACAAAATATTTTCGGACTGTCCTATGGCTCCTCCCAGAGTAATTTTCTTTTCTATCTAAAAAGATCAAATTTATAATTTTTCAATACTTCACAAAAAATTCTCCTCATAGTAAAACAAAATTAATATATAATTAATATATTTAAACCATAAATTTTAAATAATTAATCAATAAATTGTAAAATATTAAGTTATTTTGAATTTTGGAACTAAATTATAATTATAATTATTATATATTAATCTAATACAAAATTTATTTAATATAATTGTAATTGCAAAATATATAATTATATTTATAGCAACTATAGTATCTATTGCTCTTTGTGCTCAGAAAATTTTAGGGGATTACACATAATTTTCAGAAAGTTACTAGAGGCTAGTTACTTATAATGGGGACTATAAATCGAATTCATTTGCATCAAAGAAGATTGATACATGCAACTGGATTTAATGTGTACACACTCCTATACTATATTACTGGAAATTAAAAAAAAACATAGTAAAACATAGTAAAATTGACATTATTGCTTTATATTAAAATTTGGTATTTTATTAATAAATATTTTTTATTTTTATACTAAAATAAAGATGGTAACCTATATTTTTAATATATAT